AATTAATTTTAATACAAAAATATTAATAAAAAAGAAACAAAATCTAGAAATATATAGAACCTTCAAGTGTTAAAATATTACACATGAAAAAATATTCGACTTTCAAAATTATCAATAACAAGTGTATAGGTTATTCCGTGGAGAAAAGCTTATTTTTACTTAGTGATTCATATAAAAAACTGGTTAGTTTATAGCCTTAGTCTATGACTATCTGCGCTAACCATCCCTAAATTAAAAGTAATAGACTAGAGGGGGGGGGGGCAGATAGTCAATACCACCCACAGTCAACATTTGGGCTACGCTTTACCAATAAATAGTGGGAATGACTCTCACATTATAACACCCCCACGGATGAAAGGGTGAACATGTTCGGCGACAAAATTCAAACCCGCAATCCGCAGATTTCTAGTCGAGCTCTCTAATCACTAGGCCTTGTCAGATCTGTTATAATAGTATTCAAATAAAGTAACTTTCACTTTGAGAAACTGATAAAACAATACTTGTTACAACGTTTATTGAATCACTGACCTTAATCATAGGCTTAGTGAACACAAAGAATTACGATGAGACTCCTACCTTAGTTGTATCATAAAAAATTGTTGTTGTTGTTTTCTTTTAACAAGGAAAGCTTCATACCTTGTACGGTTACTTCAATTACTTTCTGAATTCCTTCTAGTGTAGTACATTTATACGATCCCGAATGCTTTTCTGATGCATTGTTGATCATTAATTTATTCTCAATGCTAGAAGAGTTTGTCTTCTTTCTGGTAGAGTACAATGGTTGAACGCCTAAATCGTCATTTTGATAGGTCCACTTCAGATCACCTGCATCTTCAGAATATAAACACGTTAATTTGAAAGATGTTCCAGGATACACTACTAATTGCCCTGTGTAACTAACGCCAAGCCTGTGGTCTGGTTGGTAAGGATCAGGCTCAATCAAAATAATTGGTGAGGGCAATTTCTTCTTAGAAGCTGCAAGATAAAATTATTTTTCTTCTTAATTGCAAAAAACAAGAAACAAAGAAAACAACAGAAAAATATTTAACCCTGCTGTTATTCTTCTGTAAACAAATTACGTAATCACTCTTCCTGGGTCCAAGAAGACCCCATCATAAAAAATTAACATAAAAGTATTTAAATAATAATAAACTATTATTTTGGAAACAATAGAACAATAAAACTCAAAATCTATTTTCCTTTATTAATCAATAAATGAACATCGAATAAGTTGTTTCTTTTTTTATCACCTAAACTAAGTGTAACGATTTAACACAAACTAGCCGAATACTAAAGCTACTGAGAACAACAAACATGTACGTGCTTCCATCTGTCGGCGCCGATATTTACAAAATATTTGGGGTCCGTGAAGACCCCGGAAGACTAAAGCAGGATTAAATATGTATAGACTCAACAATTTGTATATTTCATAGATAGGTATCAGTTTTTCTCAGTTATATGCTAATAATAAAATGCTGGAAAACTAGATGTTTCCAGAGTGATAAATGTGTTATGAAAATAAGTCAAAAGTGTAATAAAACATGCAATGAACAATAATAAAATACGAATCAAATAATTATTGATCCTCCCGTAAATGTCCTTCAGTGGGGCAACGGTAAGTTTACGGATACAACACTAAAATCCGGAGTTCAATTCCTCTTGGTGAACACACGTACGTATGTAGATTTGCACTAAAACCAGTGGCGTTGCTAGGTATTGGCACACGGGACTCTTGCTCCTATTCTATTTGACAGTACCCCTAATCCCCGGTTGAAGTTTTGAAAAATCAGAATTGAAAACCATAAGCAATATCATACTGAAGCGCCAAAAATTCCCGTTTCTATGTGCCTGAGTCTTCTAAGCACCTAGCGACGCCTCTGGCAAAAGCAATCAAATAAACCTTATGTAAGTGACACTAGTCACTTTTCCTTTGAATTTTAGACTGGTATTCGTTCTGCGAGCAACTAGATCAAGAGTTATACTTTTATTTATTGAAGTGGAATTAGAATTTTTAACCTGAAAGGAATTTAATGGCTAGAAAGCCAGGTCAGAAACCCTAGAGTTTAAGCATAATAATCTCTAATTTTGAAGTTCTGACCAGAGGGAAAGAAGTCAGGCAGCAGTACCTTCCCCCAAGTGGCTTTGATTGCTCTTCATGCCGAATGACGATAGTTACAGTCACTTTATAATGCGTCCACAAAAACAAGTGCATAGTGTGTTCAGTGGTATCACGTTTCGAACCTTGGACCCGTCAATACACAGACCGCTAAGCTAAACAAGTAGGCCACATCTGGCTTTTTTTATTTCTCGACACGTCTAACGATTTATCTCGTATCTAGTAGGAATAAAGATAAAATCCCAATCTGTGTGCGTAGATTATTAGTTGTTGTTTTTGTCTTACCTTTTTTGAATATCTTTACTTAGCTTTGCTAACGTTGATATAATCAAACTTAACCTGTGCTAATCGTCTTCTTTTTTTCCTAAATTTTCAATGACTAATATAGTGAAAAAATCTGCAGAACCTAGTCTTGTAAAACACGTGCTACGGAAGAATACAAAACAAATAACTAACTTATCGCAGTTAAACCAAATCAAGCAGAAAACTAATTCATAATACAAATAACCAATTGAGTGCTTTGTATTAAGCAATTATTAATAAGAATTACTGGGAAAAGGGAAGAAGTCTGCATAATAACATGTCAACCACACTATATCTGCTATACCATGATGAGACTTTTCGCCAATATCGGGGTTCTTTAGACTGGCTGGGATATGTCAGATACGCTAGTGGTTGTGAAGCTATATATATTAATTAGTAAATTGCTTAACAACAACTGTTACGGAAGACGTATAGCAGACACCTTAATCTTATATTTAGTTTATTATCAAAACACAACATTTTTGACACCTAAAACCGTTTTTTAACTCTAAAATTATCTATGGGTTCCACATCAATTCTATCGGCTTTTTAAACATATGTTTATAAACTACTAGCTGAGGATACCCGTTAAGGGAGCTATGTCACATAATGTATTTTGGCTCATAAATGGTAAGCCACTGAAACATTGCTCCCAAACTTGACATGTATCCTTACCCCCCCCCCCCCCATGAGGAGTGACATAAGGGATACGAGTTCGGTTCTGTCACCCACAAGAGTCCTATGTCTTGCTCATGAATGGGTATATCAGGTAGTATTTTAAATGTTGCGTGTTGAGAACACAGAATTAAAGGTAATATTTCCCAATACTACATCAATCTCATACACAAATGTTTCGCTCCATGAAACGAGTGAAACACAAACAAAGTAAACCTACAATTTATGTTTCGTGGATGACAGTTCGCTTGCTTTTTCCAGTCACAACTATTTATGGCTGCCCTGAAATGTAAAGTAGGAGGACAATCCTGAATGGTCGGTCGATGTTTCCAGCAGTTTATAAACTTACTACAGTCTTTTGGATAGGGAAAAACACCATAGGCTTTTGGGCAAACGATTTCTTCAGTACGACCTACAAATACGAAACAAGAGTCGTCGTGTCGTAACCAATTTGAACAAGCTTTTTGCGTCATACAATATTTAAAACTATAGTTCAATATTAAACTAACCACTACCAGTAAAATCTCAAATTCCAACATATAAGAAATAAGACATATGTCATCAAACTAATTTTGTTTCATCTTTCTATCGTTTATAGTTCTAAAATTACAAATCATCCACGTTATATTAAAACATTTTCTTGTTAAGAATACTTTGAAATACAGCTGTATGATAAGATGATTTAAATATGGAATTAATTAAATGTGTGTGTCGCTAGATTAACAGTTTACTCTGTTATAATATAATTTGTTTGTTTGTAATTAGGCACAAAACCACACATAGGCTACCTGTGTTCTGCCAACCACGGCTGTCGAAACCCGGTTTCTTGCGTTGTAAGTCCGCAGAGGTAATGCTGTGCTACTGGGGGATTGTTATAATATATGTATGGTTATGTCGTATTGCTAGAAATGTGTGAATGTGAATGATGTCATAGTATAACGTTTCAAGATTAGATGAAAAAGGATGGTGGAAGATTTAGAATGGAAATATTAATAACATTGATTATTGTTGATAGAGTGACTGTTTTATTTGCATGTAGATAAGAAGCCAATAAGTGTCAGGTGTATACAGGGTTAATATGCTATATTAAAACATCGTTAAGGTCCATGTCGCCACGTCCGGTCATACTCTGTCTGACGACTATGTTTCTTGGCAATAGCCTTACAACGCATTTTTCATTAAAAGATTCCGTCGTAAGGCTGTCATGTCCGAAGAACACCATTCCTCCCTGCATGTTTTTTTTTTTAATCCTAAAGTTTATAGTTGAATGGGAGGTATAATTAGAAGCTTTATCGTGGTGAGCCCATACCTCTTTGGCCTCGTTTTTAGTCGGAAGTTTTTCTTGTTTTCCGATGTTATTAAATAAAAAAATACCCCAGTCTTGGAAATTATAAATCCTCGATCTGAACACAAATTTATGATCATAATATATAAATATTTTGTGTCGAAAAAGGCTAGTACATACGCTTTCCTAGAGCAACCAATTTTTAGTGGCATCCCACTTTCTACAAAACAACGGTAAAATGTGATTCTGATACCTGCCGTGCCGGCGCGACTTTACACTAGCTGTGCTGATCACGTGACTTGATTTCTATGTTCAAAATCATGCTAATATTACTTAATAAACCCTGTAGTGTTTATATTTTTTATTTGAAAGGCAAATTATGTGTACATGATCTAATTGGACAACTAAGGTTCGGATACAGCCGCCCCTAACTTTGAAATACTGACCAAAGGCAAAGAAAATAGCATCACTCACCCCAAAAATAGTTTTTTTCCGGCTCCTGGAGCAAAATAGAGAGCCCATATATAAGAAGCCAAGAGCTGAAAGCGCAATGCGTACTGAGCGATATCGTGATTCAAATATTGGATCTTCTAATTAGCAGCTCGGTACGCAAATCACTAGGCCAGAGACGGGTAAAGTATCAAGAGATTGCTTTATAACTAAATCTGTAGTCCTGTTTATGAAATAACCTCATCCGACCTAGCTATACAGATTTTTTCTTCTTCTTGAATTCAGGCTACGATGTACAATTAACAACTTAAAACTGATATAACGAAATCATTGAAGTAGGTAATACGTATACATATCTACTGCTCTCGTAGTATAATCAAGATTACGTCGCCACAAATTTCAATCTCTTATTTTATCTAATGTATGCCATATATAAATTAATAAAGGGAATTTATCAACAAAAGCCAACTAACTGCTTTGATGAGTGATCTCAAGCTTTTCACATCTAGGTGGCGCTTTGCTCCAACTTCCGTTTTCACATCGAGTATTTGAAGGACCCTTTAAGTTAAAGGTACCAATGTGTTCACATTGAAACCATAACTCTTCACCAGATGGAACTTCACTCAGCTTAGGTTTTTCCTGATCCATCACTCTACCTTTGTAGTACATAAGGACAGTTTTATCTTGAGGTGTTGGCATCAGACACGAAATATCACCTGTGAAATATATGAATAATTAATGGGAATCAAATATATATCATTTTTAAAAGGTTATATCTGAAACAAGTAAAATCTCGCCGTTAGCATTGTAATCTTGTTATAGAAGCATTCACAGTATAACCCAATTAGATGTCCTAAAACGTAATTTATATTCATGTAATGGCTTTTTCCTTATAGAATTAGCTTTCTCTGGTAGTAAATATTATGAAAGCCCGGGTTTCTTCTGTAGTTACAATTTAAAGTATTTTTCGTAAAATATATAGTACAAATTATTAAATGATAAAAACCCCATAACCCCAGCGCTTTCGAAAGGTGGACC